AAAGATTAATAGCCGCTCTAATGGCGAGGCAATTAACCCAGCTTCTCATAAACCTGCAATAATTGCCATTAGCCTGCTTCAAACGCCTTCAGCGCCTCTGAAGCACAGGGACAAGCTAAACTGTATTTTCCAGGAGCTTTCGGTAAGAGCAGCTCCCTACAAGCATTTACAGCAATGAGCCATTATTGTTCCCAGACAGAAGCAGGATTATGCTGTGAAGCATAAAGACTGGAAGGAAACAGCTCACCTGGCTCTATCAAAACTCACAGATTCATTTTAAAATGTTGTAACTCGTTTGTTTTATCCATATAGGATATAGGACATCTCCTCCCTCCAGTGCTAATGCTGCTGCGACTCTGGAAAAAGACAGTTGAAGCAGTACGACATACAAACTTATCACATTATACCAGGAAATGTTCTTGGTATAACTGTACACTATGTATCCTGGTATAATGTGACATGTTTCACGTTGTAACTTAGAGAGCGGATATATTGAAGAACATGGCTCATCTGTACAATTTGATTAAGTTTTATTTCCTGCTTGGATTAAGACATGATGAGATTCTGCTCTTGAGCACAGAAGTCTGTCTGCATGACGACGGATTTTAAAATGCACGAGGCTGTACGGAAGAAAAAATGAGTTTGAGCCTCTTGAAATACACTGTAAAAAAATGTTCTGTAAAAAAAAAAGGAAAATCTGGCAACAACAGTTATAGGGGAAAGAATAATCAAAAATGGTATAATACCGTGATGTCCAAAAACAGTGTAAATATTGGCAAACATCTGTAAAGTAGTTTTTAAAAATAGAATCATTTTTTGGTGACATGATGTAAAAAAAAAAAAACATACTATTTGTGAAAATACAGATTTTTGATGTGGACATGATGTACAGTTTTGGATTACTCTTTCAACAGTCAACATGTAAATTGATGTTTTGTTTTTTGTTTTTTTTTATTAGTGACATCTGCAATTTAACAAAAGGGGAGAAAATCTGTTATTTACTATTTCCGTAATATACTTTTTTGTCAAAAAATGTAAATATTTGTAAAATAATATTTTTAAATGCATCTAAATACATTTTAAAAAATACAGAATTTTTAAAAATTATTTTAATTATTTTATGTCCAAATGCTGTTTACATTTTTCATTTATTTATTTATTTTTTTAAGTATTATAATTTGTAAATATTCCAGTTTTTGACGTGGACATTATGAACAGTTTTAGTGTGTTTTTCAGGATTAGCATGTACGATAATACTTCTTTCAGTGATTTTAATAGTTATCCTCATTTTAACATAAGTATTCAAAAAATTCCAGCTAAAAATGGTTTTAAAATGTTAATTTCATACATGACTTGCAAAAATATCATCCATTGTTGTCAATACCAACAGAATCGCACCACATTTCACTCCAAGCATGAAGCAGACTTTAATTAAATTGCATGAATGACCAGCTTTTGTCAATTTCTTCATTTACAGAATCATTATAAAATGAGTTTTTTACACTATAAAGTGAATCTTTTCATGCTCAATAGAAGATAAATAGTATATTGTCATAACTAGAAAGGTTTCTTTTTATAACAACACATTTTTCTCATTGTAATGTAAATTTAATTTGTTATTGTCTTTTTCTGTTCACCAACAATTATCCCCTAAACGTTTCCATAATGTTGAACCGTTCTTTTAATCCAGTCAAGCCCATTAGGACATCTAGCACCAGACATATGGAACAAAATTAAAGAACAAAATGTACAATATTTATTTATTTAGTTCTTTCATTCTTTGACCACATTGCTCTGTTTGCCGTGAAGATTTCTTTGACTCTAATAAATGACTGCTGTTGAACTGCTGGCAGAAACACCCCATTACAGATGTTTGATTCAATTATGGCCACATCAGAAACCAGTGTGGTGGAAAACTGTTGTAAGTAGCTGAAGTGTTACTTCACTGTCCACTGTGGCCCGATTCTGGTGCGGAGCTACACGATAAGAGTGCTTGTATGCAAATGGTTCCCAGAATTAAAGCAAACTCAATTAGCGCGTGCACTGGGCCGAGAAAAGGTCAACAGGCTGCACTTGGCACTCCTTGATTCTCACGAGGTAGAATTCTCCAATTAGGAAACAAAAAGTGGAATTCGAGCAGAAAATGACGCCCGTTTTTATGCTATTTGTTCATTCGGTAACGAGGCTGCGAGTCTTGTTCATTGAGGGGAATCATCGCGGCTCATTATCGAGGCTTGTCCGCTTGGTTTGAAGGTTTCTAAGAGACAGATTGACAACGAGCTTCAGATGTCCATCAATTCAGCGTCGGTGAGACCATCTGACAGACAGGCGAGAGACGCAGTGGCAGCAGGTGGTGCTGAAGTCTGGTGACATGATTTGCTGCTGCTCCGCCTCAATGCAGTCCACTTCAAATCCACTCCAAACTCAACGGAATTGACGCTGAATTCTTTCTTTCAAGTCGTCAGCGAGCGTAATTTGTTTCAATCAGCAGAGTATCACAGAGTCACATTGGCTTCAACACGCTGCAGCGCCGTGTAGAGGTTTGAAGCACCAGGTGGAGAAGCAGGCCGCCAGCGGGTTTTGTTATTTACTCCAACGTCTTCCTTTCTTGCGTCTTGTCAGAGATTTACAGCTGCTTCTCCCACATAGCTGTGATTCACCGCAAGTCAGCGTACGAGGCTGAGAAGGGATAAAAAGCTCCCCTTTACCCCCGAAGCTGTGTTTTTCTTGCTGTTATTTCAGTGTTCGGTATTTCAAAGGAGTAATGCTAGATGGCTGTTTTCATGTTCACCTTAAAACTGAATTTAAGGTGTGTACATATGGGCAGGGCTTCGGTTTATTGGCCTGTCGCGGTGAAATATGTCACTAAATATCTAAAAAGGGACTTTTCAGTAAGTTAGTTTCCTGTCAGCTATTTTATGAACAGATTCAAATAGCAGATAAAAAGCACAGTGGGAATGGTCGAAATAAAAATGCACATGAGGTAGAAACTTTGATGTATGAATCAAAACGAAGATTTTATCGAGAATCTTTAGTACTATCTTTACTTTCATGTATGAAATGAATGTTTTCGTCAACTTAGGTACAATGAATCCAACACAAACTTGTGTGTTTATATGTTTTCAAACATCTGGAGGAGATCTTTAAACCTGACTTGTCCAGTAGCGTTCTGGGAAATTAGAGATGTTGATTATATGAATGTAAAGGATGAGGTTTTCTGATTAAAGGTGTAGTAGGCAGTTCTGATCCAATATACTCAGTCAGTGAAGATCAACAAAGTGGCCCAGACTGGTTCAGGAAACTGTTTTAGAGTGTTTTGTGCACGTTTGTACGGCTTCACGGTCATGCTCATGTGCAGCACAAGGGGGGGAGATGGGAGTAAGTATCTAAATGTGCTAATTAGCTAAATCTCAACAGTGTTCCCCTAGAATCAGAAACCGTCAATGAGCTGTGAATCTCTTAATTTGTTGAAATCTCCCCTTGAAGGAGGAAATTATTCTTCATATTTGAACAAGATGGGGATGTCTGATGAGGAATTTGGGCTAAATTGTTATAATAATGGCAATGGTCAGAAGCACAGCAAGAAGGTTCTGGGTTTGACCCTGATGGTCGGCTTGGACCTTCCTGTGTGGAGTTTGGTTGTTCTCCTTGTGTTTTCATGGGTTGGTTGTTGGTTCTACATTGGCTGTGGTGATGTACTGTGATGTCAGGTGGACCCCATCAGTGGGCTCCGGCCTTCTGTTATAGATGGAGCTGGTACAGCTGATGGACTGACATCATGTGTGATGAGTTCTTTTCATTTCTGCCTTGATTCTGGTGATTCTGACTGACTTGGCCAGAATTACCCTCAATTGTAGCGCACACTTATTCTTCTTACCTCCAGATAGTGAACGGAGCAGGTCATCAACTAGTTACAAGGTCGGTGGTTTAATCACCAGCCGCCCCCCGTCTACATGGAGCCCTGCCTCACTACCAACTCATCCCATAGTGCCCCTTGGTCAGGAACTCTTGTCATCACTTTCCATTGCACTGGATACTCTTTAGCATAGAGCTTCAACAGACGGACTCGTCTGACACATCTATGAAAATGTGTGATTGTCAGACTCCTCCGTCTTGTCCTTGTCAGGCAACTCTACGTTTGGCTTGTAACGTGCTTACGGTTGTAAAAGGGTGCATTTTAACCTGTAAATTGTCTTTTTCTAAACTTAACCGAGTAGTTTGAAAGTGAAAATGAGCCATAAGTCCCTAAGTCAAACAAAACCAAGTGAAAAAACAATGGTCCCACACAGGAACCAGAATGTCAGTCTTCTGGGTAATAATCCTGTGACATGAGACTCCTTTACAAATCTTAAAAAGACATTTGTCATCCTCAAACATTGATGCCAGCTGCACTGATGCCAAAGGACACCTTGTACATATCTCTGGGACTCCAGCAGTTTTGACGAAGCGGCAGTTTTTGTCGCACTGGTCCCTCTTGTCCTTGGTCAGGACTTGCTAATGGTCCAACCAGCACCTTTCATAGTAGCTCGTGTGCCGGTGGTCCACTGAGAGACAAACTGGCTGCATCAGAAAGCTGCTCTCTCATTGGTCGAACTAAACCTCGACGGTAAGAGGTGAAACATGTGCTCTGCAGTTTAGTGTCTCGTTCTCAGATTCATTATGTGACCTCTGAAGCTGCTTCCCTCAAGCCTTCGTCTTTGTCTCTCTCTGACAGAGTGAGACGGATCTTCGGCATCTCGGGAGAGCAACATACGCAGTGAGAAGATGACTCTGGCAGGTAAATGCAGTCGCAGCAGAAAGTCGCTCGCCTCACAGCTCGGCTTTCCTTCGTCGTGTAACCTGCACTGCCGAGCTGCACTTTAGTACCTGTTTAATGCATCCTGTCATTATAATGAATGTTCATTTTAACACAATGAGAATGTGACGAGTCACTGTCACTGAATTACATCATTGGTCCTTGAATGCTTGTTCAGTTTGAGTCAACATAATGTGTTTGTGTCCTCAGCCTATAAAGAGAAGGTCAAAGAGCTCCCCCTGGTGTCTCTGTTCTGCTCCTGCCTGAACCCACAAACTGCAGAAAAACCTACTTACAAGGCAGAAGGTAAAAGAAATCTCCTTCACACAAACACCAATGGCAATAAAGTGGATGCTAGTCCTTCTGGGTGAGGTGGGAATTTGATAAACGACACATAAGAGGATAGCGAGTTAACCACGAACCACACAGTGCACCCAAATGGTCCCTGCATTCACGTTTTTATAGCGAATAAATAACCTGAACTCGATCCAACGCCACAGATGCGGTGGACCTGGGCTGGTGCGTCATCAAAGACGTGGAAGTGATCGAGCTGAACAAGCGAGCATCGGGCCAGGCCTTCGAGGTCATCCTGAAGCCGCCATCCTTTGACGGCGTGCCAGAACTCAACACCTCCATGCCGCAGCGCCGCGACCCGTCCCTGGAGGAGATCCAGAAGAAGCTGGAGGCTGCCGAAGAGAGGCGAAAGGTGAGGCGGAGGGGGGGGAGATTTAAGATCATCATGTCCGCCAGAAACCCAACGGGAAAGGCCCAAAAGTGTAACCCAATAACCCGCAGCTATTTGTAGCTCATTCAGACGTTGTCAAACATCTGTCGGCGCCCTTTGTCCGCCGCGTGATTTATCAGCCGAAGAGAAAAAAGGGTGGAAATGGATAAAAGCGGAGTGGGAGGGAGTGTCGGAGGGGAAGGAAGGGAGGAAAGTTGAGCGGATTGAAGGTGGGAAGATGAAAAGAGGGGACATGAAAGTAGGAGGACGGTCAGGCAAGGACACAAACACAAAGGCTTGTATTCATCAAGCAAAGAGGGGGGAGAGGTGAGGAGGGAGAAGCTGTAACTGAGCCAGAATTTATTTAGTTTAACATCACGGTGACTCAAATCTGTACGGATTTGTTCTGGTGTTACACAAAACACAAACAAAAAATGGCTGACGGTAATGTAAATTAATAGAAAATCTAAAAAAATCATTGAACTGGCACACAGCCGAGAGACAAGTAAACAAAACATACCTCAAAATAGACGTGTTTCCATTTGCATGTGCATTTTGAAGCATCGCATTAGAAAAAAACTATGAATATGTAATTCATTTGTGATTTACAACAAAAAAAATAGATTTCACTACTTTGTTTTAAGACATGAAAAATATTTCACGCATCAGAATCACAAAATTGCAAACTGATGAAGCACATTCCTTTTGTTGTTGTCGTTGATGATGATGATGATGATGATGATGATGTTGACAGTTCTCTTTTTATGTTGTTTTTTTATTTGGATACCAAAAACAGACATCACGTGGCTTTTTGTTCTTTAATTTTACACCAAAAATGAAACAGACTTTGGTCTATCTGTCTACTCTGGTATAAATCCTGTGCATGAATAATGTTCATCTGAAGGCCATTGTGTTATTTTGGCATCTGTTCTGATATTTCTACACTTCTGCCTTCTGTATATTGTTCTATAATCTGTCCTAAATGAAAAATGACATTTACATTTTTTTATATATATAAAAAACAAAATTAAAGCTTTTGAGTTTTTTCCCAAGTCTTTTTTTCAATTTTTTTTTTGTTTTACTAGTAGCTTAAAATCACAGAATAAAAAAGCTGCATGAAGTTTGTTTTTGGTTTCCAAATGAAAAAGGAAAAAATGAATTGCCAACAAACATTTAGGTTGTTGTTGTTGTTGCTTTTGAACCAAAGAGTAGAATCATGTTCTCTTTTTTGTTTCTGAATTGCAAACTAATTCTGGACTATGCAACGATGTCCAGAACAAAGTTTAATTGTTTTTTTCTTTTTGTGTTTTGATTCTGACACCAGAGACAGTTTTTAAGTTCTGAAACAAAGAATAAAATTTTGTGTTTTTTCATTTTTTAAATTGCAAATGAATTGCGTGTCATCCAACAGAACCCACACCTGGAACCTGGTGAGAGAGAGACTGTGTCTTTTGTTTTTTATTTTGTTTTGGTCTTTTGAGTCTAACACCTGAAACAATTTCTTGTTAATTTCTTCTTCTTTTTTCATTTTTGATGTGGAAACAAAGACAAGAAACCATTTGTACTTCATTTTTGAGTTACAAATGAACCACAGATTATTCAGTGCTGCTCAGACCAAGTCTAGCTGACGTGAACGAATAATTAATGTTCTTTTAATTGAGGGAAAGTTGTAAAGACTTCTCTCCATTTTGTTCTTGTAAACAGCCAAAGATTCTGACTTTTTAACAACTGGTTTTCAGTTTCTTCTGCTGTTTTTATTACAGCCATGTGTATCAGAGCTTATAACACCACCTTCTTCTGACGCCGTGCAGCTCAGCTTTTTCATTTCAAATTGAAATTCCCTCTTTTGGAAACTAATAACTAATAACACAAGAAGAAACACAGACTTTCACATATCAGCTATTCATGTAGAAAGTTTTGTCTGCAGGTCATCTGCAGTCAAAGATCATCTGACACTCACCTGCACCATTTTGGGAAAAAACACAAAAACATCTCCTGCTGATTCCACCTCTAAAGCCCTCTGTCGCCCTCTAGTGTCAGGAGGCCGAGCTGCTGAAGCACCTGGCGGAGAAGAGGGAGCATGAGCGCGAGGTGATCCAGAAGGCCTTTGAGGAGAACAACAACTTCATCAAGAACGCCAAGGAGAAGCTGGAGCAGAAGATGGAGGCCAACAAGGAGAACAGGGAGGCTCTGCTGGCGGCCATGCTGGAGAGGCTGCAGGAGAAGGTACTGGACAGTTTCTACATTACAGAGCTTATCAGCCGTTGTCTTCTCAACCTCAAGCTCTGACCCAAAAAAAAAAAACAATCCACTGAACCTTCCTATTATCTTTGGGGTCAATTTGACACCATTCAATGTTTAACATCTCTCAATAAGTCATCATTTTTTTCAGTTTTATTTAAAGGGCTATTTACACATAAACTTGGGTGACAGTTTTAATTATTTTCTGGAGCTTTAAATTGCTGGAGTCAAACTGAACCCAAGGATAAAAGATGTCAGTAAATTTGAAGGTTACTACAAAACCCACACTGACAATGTGCCTTTTATCTTTAAATGTGCATAACGTGGATTTTAAAATGGAAAAAGTTCAGTGTCTAAAGTTTCAACGTGTCAGGTTTTGAAATCAGCCTCTCAGAATAACGAGGGCTTCTGTCTGGACTTACGAGGGGAGACATGGAGGAAATTTATCGTAGTGGAGACATATCAAGTTTTCCACCATTAGTTTTGCATATTTTTTTTCTTCTTCTCTTCTCTGGAAACTCTCGCTGCTTTACTAGCATTACTGTCTGACTTCATTCCAGCTACATTCTTTCAGTGTGTGAACTACATCATGGCTGTCAGGGGAACTCGCTTTTTTTTTTCCCCAACATTTGTAATGCGCTCGATTTAGCTTTTATCTTCATTCCTATTCATAAGAATCAGGAAACAAATGAAAAGAAGCTGCTGCCTGTTTTTCAGCACCATGGAGGATATGGGTTTGTTCTTTGAGTTAAAAGTTGATGATGTTGTGCCGCCACGCTTCGATGGTAATAGCAGCTTGTGTGCCCGAGTCTTCATTAAAGTGAATTAGAGATGAGTCACTATGCATTAATCATACATGAATAATGCTCAGATTTGATGCATTATTAATGGTGATAGAGCTACAGAGTTGGAAATGTATGGAAACAGAAAATAGCATACTGTCAGTGTTTCATGTGACCCAACCCCTTAATCTCAACGCCCCCGCAGTTCACACGTTGGATCCATCTACAGCTTAATTTGTTTTTACAGCTTCTTTTTGATGACACTCCTGCACCATGGACACAATTTGAACAATGTCATTCAGCTATTTTTCTTTTTAAAATCGTCTCGTTCTGAGCACAAACCTACTTGTACCGCTCTATCATTACAGTGTTTTACTGTTAAAGGAGAAGCTCAGCATTTTGTAAAATCTACTTATAAGCAGACTTTCAAAATAGATAAATAAGAAGATCGATGCCACGCTCATGTCTGTGCCTTCACTATACAGCAGGTCTGTCATGATATCTGATTTATAATAATTCACAATACCAATTTTATCACAAAATTTGTAGAAAATGTTTTTTAAAAATAATTCTATCCGCCAAATTCCTCTTTGCTTAGTTTATTGTGTATTTCATTTCATTTTTTGCACTGGATTATTTATAATATTGGCATATGTGCTTTAATAACATGATGTCAAATGTTCTATTTTTAAAAAAACATCACAGTTATCATCAATACTGGTACATTGTGGCACACCTACTACTTAGCTAGCTCTGTGAGGTGATTAGCCTAGCTTAGCATAATAAGCATAAAGAAGTGTGAAATTGTTTTTACTACATTTCATTTTCCAGATGTATTTTAGAAAATATAACATATGGTAAATATTCAGCTTAAGAGGTGCAGGTAGTTGCATTTTGAACTTTGTAGAGAAGAGTAAGGCGACTTGTTTTTGCTTTTTTCAGTGTTTTTGCTTCGCTAGGCTAATTAATAATTAAATTAATAGGACAACATTTTGTAAAATACATATTTTCACTCACTCTTATGGAATTACATGAGCTGCACTAATTTTATATTTGCCAGCAACTAGCTAATAGCGTAGCAAGAAAATTCCATAGCCCTGCATTTAAAAGATGGCCGCAGTGACCGTGAAGTCATCCATTGGTCTTTATAGTTTAGCACTTGGTTGCCGCCATCTTGGTCTTTTAAAAGTGGACTTAATGAGTAAGTTGTGGACCTGACTGACAACTCGAGGACACCATGCCAATTGATATGTTAACAGTAGCCAAGCCCTAAAACAGATCATACTTTATCATCTATTTTACTCTAAAATGGAATAGAATTTAGAAAATGAACATCTACCTGTATTAAAGGACACATGAAACTAGTGATTGAGACCATAAATTCATAAGGAAAATGTTTACTGAGGTAGTAAATCAAATAAGAAATAGGCTCAGTTTCTCATTAACTTCCATACAACAGGAGTCTCCCCCTGCTGGCAGTAATAAAGAATGCAGGTTAAAGTCACTGTCTTCACTTTTTATGCTGGGAGGTTACATCTATCTTGTTTATACAATCAATGCAAAAACAGCAGAAAAAAACAGCTATATTGGCTTCATCCAAAGGTTAAACTAGTTGCATATCATTGTTTCTAACGATCCCTAATTGGAAATTTACAGTAAATCTTCATTTTACAATCTGTACCAAAAAGTGTAAAAATGACAACATGCTGTTTCATTTGTACTCGTTCGTCACCCGAACCAGTTGCCTGGCAACTTGCAGAAACACTTATTCCAGTACACAAAACAGCAAATTCCTGTTGTTCCAGTTTTATCTACATACTTACAGACGTGAACGTGACATATTTAGCAAAATGTGGAGCTTTTTCTTGAACCAACAGTGTTATACTGAGACCTAAAAATTTCTTGAGTGCAAGTGAATCAAGGCTTCATCATCATAAGTCATTCTATTTTAACATTGTTCACAAGCTTGATGAGTAATCATGAATGTTAGATGAGGAGAGGAAGAGTTTTTAGTTCTCCACACTCGGTGCTCAAATCTTTCTGAACAAACCTGAGCCGTTCCCTCGTTCTGCCGCCGTCTCTTTCATTAATGCAAACATATTCATGAATGCTAATGAATCTGATGTTTGCTTTGTCGGTGTGTTTGTTTCACAGGACAAACACGCCGAAGAAGTGAGGAAGAACAAGGAGATGAAGGAGGAGGCCTGCCGGTAGACGAGCGAGGGGAGCCGAAACAGGAAAAAACAGCGAGACTGGGGAGTTTTTGAGTCTGTGAAAAAAAAAAAAGAAAAGAAAAAAAGAATTCAAAACAGTGCAGAAAAGAAAAAGAAGGAACTCAGCAACAGCAACTCGAACAAAGGGAAAAGGCGAGTTTTCGTATTTGATGTCTGCTGTAATGATTGTGAACAAGCTGTACAAAGTTTAGCCAACTCTTGATGTTGAAATTTCTCTTTTTTCTAAAAGGAAGGCGGGCGGGTGGGGAGGTTTCGGGGGCGACATCAAAACAAACATTAACAATTTTTAAGAGCATTGATTGATCGATGGAGGAGGTTCTCTTATTTCTGCAGTTTCAGTCGGACAGGAGGAAATTACAGCTGCCCATGTTGTACTGAAGCATCATTAAGTGAACTGTGTTGTTGACACAGCAACACAAAGACGCAGTTTCACTCCAATTAGACTGTAACTAAGGAGTAGAGAGCTGTAATCCAAATAGTAAAAGTGACCAATGATATGTTGTGCTTAAATAAAACCAGACGCAGAGAGCCCTACTCAGTCATAACCTATACAATTCAAACCCAAAAGGCCTCTTCAGTTTTTGATTTGCAGGATTCTCGTGTATCATAAACAAAAAAAAAGATACCACACAAGCTTCTGCTGTTTCCGATTTAAAAATAAAAAGTGGTTTAGCTCTCGTGCTAATTCTTCGCCGCACCATTTCTGGGATATTTCAGTCTGTCCGGGGACTAAATGCTTTATGAATATGAAATAAAGAATCGGTCTTTTGTTTCTTTCTGCAGAGCTCTGGGGGAGTTAAAGAAAAAAAAATATTAAAAATAAGCCTGAAACGGGAGGAAGCTCTGCTGTTCTCCGCCGCCGTCGGGCTCTCTGTGAAACTTTTAGCTGTAGTGTAGTCGTAGATCAGTGACATGCATTTGAGTCTCTTAGATTTAGAGCACTGATTGCACTCTTATTTCATTAAGCACAACTCAAAAGCACACATGCATACAAGAAAGGACGGTGAACATATACAGTAAAACCAACAATAACATCACAAGGAGGCAAAAGTAGTGACAGACAGCAGTTCACAATTTGGATTCATTTGTTTTTGTTTTTTGGAGAGGACGACTCCGGTGGGTCTCCGTTTGCTTTGGCATGCGTCGCTGTGCTCTGATTGTTCAATGGAATTTAAACCTAAACTGAGAGATGATATTTGGTTGTTGAGTCATACTGACTTGGCTGAAACGTCTAAAAATGTTTGCACTGTAACGGGGGAGTCGTAACTTGGGGTTTGTACTTGCTGTAACTGTGTGTTGCTGTATATCTTCGAGGCTGGATTGATTGTATCTACTTGGCATGGTCAGTAAAAAAAACAAAAAAAACAAAGCTTGACTGAGCTCACACTTTGTTCTGGCTTTACTAGTTTGTAGACTTCAGTGTTCACTGTGCTCCTTTGCTCAGTCAAACACATCTCTTAAAGTTCTCAAGTCATTGATTAAACCTCTAAAAACCATAGATTGTATAAAAGATGGACGTAGCTTCCGTGACGTCACCCGTTGGTTTCTGCACTGAGAAAATGAAGCCAGGGTTTTGCTGCTTCCTGGTTGACATCTTGGATTTTTGGAGCCAGTGATGCAAAAATCGTCGGAGGGGGCGGAGCGATTGGTCAGACGGATTGAGAGGCGGGCCTTCTCTGCCCGCCCACATTTACCGCCTTGTGGTCGCTTCATCTGTATGGTCGCTGCCGACTGTCAATCAAGCCAGCCATGCCCCTTGCCCCGCAAAAATGTTGACGATTTTTTAAAAATTCATTATTGATTTATTTTCAGATTGGCCACCTGATCTCTGGATTTGATTATGAAAACTAATAAGAAAAAAATCCTGAGCTGTAGGAATGCGGTATTTCGTGATCTGTAATCACTTCTTTTCCAATTCAAGTCAATGGGAGCCAGGGCTTTTTGGAGCCAGCAACTAGCGGACGTAGTGATATTGCAGGTTTTTGAAACTTCCGGGTTGGCTTCATTTTTCAGTTGCTACGTCCATCTTTTATACAGTCTATGCTAAAAACTCATCATAATTCAAAGTTTCTTCCATGAAAACAATCCCTTCCTGCCTTAAAATGGTTTGGATGTAACTCTACGCCATTGCTTCCACTAGAATGTGCAGATCGATAAAGTTTCAACCTCCCTCTCTCGCTAAACTCTCCCCACTCACTGAAGCTGGAGCACACCAGCTCACCTACAACTCTGCTTAAAACTACTTTACACAAAGTTGTACTATTACAGTAAATTAGCCATACATGTTGGAGCTGGATTTAGTAGAAGAATAATGATTCCGAAAGCTCCACTCTGCAAGTTGACGGGATTGGTTCATTAGGTTTGTGATGTATGAAACCCCAGAAGTGTGAATCCATGTTTTTGATACTGTCATTAGTACACCACAGCTTCACAGTTGAAATACTCAGCAATGCTTTTTTCACTCATGATGTGTCTTCCAGCATATAAAAACACTAAATGGACATGTTAAAGAGGCAAAAAATTTTTTTTATTTGATTCACATTATAATTAGCTCATTGCATAACCTGTATCAGTATGACTTTACTTAGATGTATGTGAACATGTAGTCTAACTTCTACAGAAAGCCACTGACCCACCACAGCATTTAATAACAACAAAATACCATGAAAAACATCTTCTTACATTTATTAGCTTGTAATTTTTCTATTTAAAGAAAATTTTTCACACTTTTAGGTTAATAAAATATAATATTTTTTTAAAAATCACAGCTGATTAAAATGTCAAAGTTACAATATGGGTGACAAATTAAAGGAGAAACTTGACCCCGTGACCTCTGTAGGGGCATTTTACTGTTACTCTGTTGGGTGTGGTCGCTTGCATCACTTAATAGTTTGAAGAAAATGATGAATCATATGTTACGGCCTTCACCGTCACCTAGTTAAACACTTACAGGAGATTTTGGACTGACTTGTAGATGTCCAAAAACACCAAATGAGGGCAAGAAGCATTAAAACTGTTGTTGTTAAGACACTTTATGTTGGTTTGTCTTTTAATTTGTCACCTGTGTTTACATTTTATAAAATAGTTTTGCTGATTATAATAAAATAAGAACAGGATTGGTATAAAATATCTAAACATAAAAGGAATAAAATAAGAAACAATATATAAAACACACAAATTAACAAAAGTGTATATTATATTAAAATATATATCTCCACTCATACCCCTTTTAGGACTCAGTTGTCCTAATAATACTAGTAAATGTGTTTAAAGCTGCACTAAACACATTTCCACCACTAGGGGCAGAAAGAAACTTTTTGCTACTATCAGTGTATTTAAGCACTTACAGCTAATAAGTAAAAGTTATAAAGTGATAAATGGATTCGTGTGTCTTTTTGAAATACACGGCACAAAGCAGGAACATGAAGGCACCAGTAAGTCACAGCAGTCAAAATAAAGACTCTTTAATATTAATATTCACGAGCTGAATCAGTGATAAGTTAGAAAATGGCTTAATACAAGCTTGGTGCGGATAAAATCAGCCTTCATGGCGTCGAATCTGTTACTGCTGCGGTACGACGCTCGGCCTCACACAGGTGCAGCCCACCGGGATCATCTCCGTCCCCAGTCGCAGGTCGTACTTCACCCTCTTTGACTTCTTCCCCGTTTTGTTGGAGCCACTCGGCCTCGGGACTCTGAGGTGGGATCGGAAGATACGTGAGAGGCGTCGTTAATCAGATTACAAACGATTGCAGCGTTATTACATTTCATTGAATCTGATTGCAGTGGAAGTCGGTGTGGGCGGAGATGAAACAAAAAGAAATTAACGGTGGTCATTCGATCGGGCTGATTCAATTCTGATGATTTCCATTCGGTTTAATACGATGAATGCAACAGCTGGTGTGTTCGGTCAGCCTTGAGGCTATGCAGAGTGTAGCCTCCATAACACTGTCTTTTGATTACGTTGACGAAGAAATGCAGGAAAGTTAAGTTTTATCTGTTCTTGTGCTGTGTGTTTACATCCAAATCTAGTTTACTCCCTGGAGAACAATGGATCTTTTCTACATTTTGTGTTCGCTGTGCATGAAAACCACAAATCCAATGATAAAAAAAATAACTCAGATTGATGAAAACAACCCTGCAGCTCGGCGTCTTCCGGGAAAATTAGCTTCTTGTTTCCCTAAATGACGCAGCGCTGTGCACACGCTATTCTCTTGAGACATCTTAGGATGTTTACACTGCTTTTGTGGTATTTTCTGTCTTTATTACATAGCAACAGAGAACAGAAAATGCGGAAATAGTCGGCCACATTGAACCAGAGACTCACTCCTGACCGCACTCATGAACATGTCCTCGACGCTCAGCTATCAATCTGCACCTGGATGTGTTACTGGTTCTGAAGCATGACAGTGATGCTAAACATGCAGCGTCGGCATCAAAAAGACTAAAATTCAGTGACAAAAGAGTGTGTGTGAACCCCGCAGAGGTCTAATCTGAACATTGTGGAGTCAGTCTGAGATCACATGAAGAGAAGCAGACCGGATCCACTGGGGAACTGTGAGAAGTTCTCCAAGAACACATTTTTAGCCAAGTATGTTTGGGAAAAAAAATTAAAAACTGTGTGCACGTGTATTAAGGAGAACTGGTGCTGCTTTAAAAGCAAAAGGTTCTCACAGTTTTTCTGTTTACTGCAATTTACATGAAGGATGAACATATACGATGGCATCCTGACCTTACCTACAACTAAGACGGTTATTTTCATTTAACAATTTTAACAATCTGACATTTTCCAGGCATGTTAAGATCAAGGAGGGGACTTGAAATCCTGAACTTTAGCCATAAAGTCAGTTTCATTAAGTTACCTCAACTTGAATTTGGTTTAAATCAATAAACACAGAAATTTAGGTTTAAATTAAACATAATATTAAGTTGATGCAATAACCAACATTATTAAGTCAATGAAACCCATCAAAATAGTGGTAATAATTTATTTTTAAAAATATTATTAATAGTGCTAATTAAAAGGTTTATCTAAATCTGTGAATTAGATTTTTTTATTTTTTTATTTTTTTATCTTGCAACCATTTATTTATTTAAGTGATGGCAACAGGTCCCTTGAATGACTCTTTTGAGTAGACTTCTGGGTGTTGCCTGCACTTATTATATATATATATCCTTACTTCCTGTTTCATTAGGAAATGCATCAAATTTAAGGAACACAATGATCTCCAATTTGCACGTCACTGACATCCTCAATGAGTTTTACACACAAGAGCGCTAACAGCTGAACAAGAGGCAGAGCGAACCCAGACATATCGTTGCCCACTGCAGTGTCTCACTTGTAGAAGACCAGGGCCTGATAGTAGATGGGTTTGGCCTCCAGAGCTGCATCCTCTCCTTCACCCTGCAGGTTCAGACAGCCGGAGGTCAGACACTGGGCCTTAGCGATCCGTCGGGGAAAGCGAGACGTCACACAAGACTCTCTGGAGGGGAGGAAAAAGAAGAAAAAAGTACGTTTATAACCAGGGATGGAGAATTTAAAGGTGAAAAACTGAAAACTGAAGGCCCAGCGCTGTGTTGTGCTTCTTTCAGCTAAAGCGAATCACCAGAACTGGACTGTTTCTGTCTGCCACAGAACTGCAGAAGATCATTAATGCATTTATTTGATGTTCTCATTCCTGAGGTTTGTTACTATTACAATTTTTTTTACATGTTACACATGAAATCCCAAAAGTCTGCATCTGTGTTTTGAAGTTGTAATTGGTACAAATGCTTCGCCATGGCACTGATTTCTTATTTTGCGCTTTGTGAAAGACAACTTTGTAAAACTGTAAAAGAAAAAAGAAAAAAGTTAACCGTAATACTTTAAACGATTTACTGTTATAGAGTTTCCCTGTTTTGTTCAATTACAAATAATAACTAGTAAAATCACAGAAAAAGGTAATGATTTGCATATTAACCAAATAAAATTAGGCCCAAACTGTGTAATAATGTCCACATTAAATCTGTGGAGGGTTTTTTTTTTTTTTTTTTTTTTATATAAATCGATCTTTTGCAACATTTGACCTCTTAAAATCAGCAAAAAGTTGCCATTTGAAAGAAAACTGATGTATATTAAGTGCGGAAAAATGATAAATATATTTAAACTCTTATTTTACAGATTTTCCCCCTTTTGTTAAATTACAGATAATATGTAGTAAAAGGTTTTCGATCAGGACAGTAAACGGGGCTCTGCCGGTAATCTGTAGATCTCGGGTGAGAACAAAGGTGACATTTGTTCTTCTTGCACCCAAACTGTGGGAAAACGCTGATTGAGATCAGATAGGCGACATCGTTAGTGTCTTTTAAATCTCGTTTTTACTTTCAACACAGGTTCTTTATGAATGTGTGATGCATGACTGTGTTTTATGACCTCTTTTTGTTTCCTTTCTGTTTATGACCTGATTGTTTTAAGCATCTTTATTTTGTGATCTGTTTTATGCTCTCTGTCTGCTTTTGTGGTCTTCATTTATGTTTGACTCATTTTTATTCATGCTATCAGTCTTTAAGGTACTTTTGTCTCTATCTAGCACTTTGCAACCTTCTTTAGAAAAGTGGCTTGTTGTACAATATTCCATTTGTAAAGTGAAAAATGGCACCGAGGGCCCTTCAGCAGCTGCTCACCTGTACGTCCACGGCGACAGCGACATGTTGGCGATGGACCAACTAGAGCCATTGGAAAACATGGGCAGCACCGAGGGATCCATGACCAGTCTCACAATCTTGCCCCTCGGTCCACCACCCTGACCCAACCTCACCGACACCGCCCGGCCTCTTGGCCTCTTGGCGGCGTGCAGCAGCGACACCAAACCCAGAACCAGCAAAGCTCTAAACACCTGAACAAGAGAACACCAGACAGAACAGAAGCTTTCTAACGCATGAAAAACACACAGCACCTAAAGACAAGTGAAGCTCTCTGTAGTTTCAATCCTGCTGGGTGGGGTTTCCATTTAATCAATCATTATGCTAATGCATAACCTTATTATCGATTTCTGAAAACTGACACATATTTGGAATGACAAGAGAATCTCAGGTATCTCTCATTTCCGTCTTAATTTTACGACTACAGTATGACACTTGGGGTCAGACCCTACACTAATAATCATGCATGATCCCATCTTGTCAAACTCAAATTCCCCCCTTGATGCAATCTTCTGCTCATCTGTAAGAGTTCAGGATGAGTAAAGCAGCAACAGCATGGCTCAGTTAAACATGATGTGACTGCATGACCTTATTATCTACTTCTGAAACTGACATGTTCTATAAATTACAAGAAAATCCCAGAAGCATCTTGTTTCCTTTTCAGCTTTACGACTGCAGTATGGTCAAACCCTGCTCTAATATTTCATGCATGATCCCAGCTTATCAAAAATCAAATCCCCCCCTTTTGGTACAATCTTCTGATTAGCGATAAGAGTTATGGGTCAGTAAAGCAGCCCGACTCACCAGCAGCATGACTGTGTCGTCTCAGCTTCGAGCTTTAACTGTGAGGAGCTCCTCCGCCGTCTTGTTATGTCTACATTCTAGCTGTGTTTATATGCAGGCAGACTGTGTTGGTGTGTGTTGGCAAGAAACGCAGTGCATTTCCGCTATGACTGTCACAGATTTTTAAGATGCATGTGTTGATCTCCAAACAAGATAAAGTTTCATCCATTCGTCGTCAGTATTTGCATTCCCACTGTGATGATTGTCGCCACTGTAGCGTATAACATTACATTCACGCTTGCAAAAGACTTGAGAAGTCCCCTCTCACACAAACTGCAACAGCTTTTGCTTTATGTTCGGAAACTGGGGCTGAGTAAAAGGTAAGTTCTGTGCATTCAGCCTCATTTTTACCTGTCATAAAGGAGAACCTGAAGTTTCAAAGGCGACACCTTCACAAGTCTGTCAAAAGGTGTGAAAACCTCCCTGCACCTATAGATGCTTTTGATGTGGTTGTAAAAGAAAAAAACATGCATTACTTCTCACTTTTAAGGGGAAAAAAAGAAATAAAAAAAGATGTGAAAATGTGCAGCTCAAGAAAAATGTTTGATCAGCATCCAAACCAAATCAGATTTTGGAACGTTTAATCTGGCTCAGAATCCTGCTAATGAAAACCCTTTGAAGCACAATTGACAACATATTGAACCCAGTAACTTAAAAGAACTGATCATCTTCCAACAAAGAAGGACTGGAATCTTTCTTTCTGCTCCACTATCACATAAGGAGACGACTCATTTTGCACTCAGTCGACCAGTTTATTGTCCATATCATGTTACACTTTAATGCTAGTAACTACACCTACACACCGACAGCTCCGTCTGAACAATGTAGGTCAAAGACATGCTGACGGGGGTTTCAGTAATAACTCAGCAGAAAAAAAACTCCTCAAAGACAGACTGTGAGATAGCATCTCACCTCAGCATCTTCTGCCCGCCAAACTGGAGCACGGCTGTAGTGAGGTAAAGAGAAACGGTTTGACACGATGAGCTGTGGTAAAAACACTGTACTTAAAAAAGTATAATGTGTCACTGGAATAATTTTATGGAGGTATAAAGGTATAGTCAGCTGATAAATTGATCAGGTTTGGGGTGACAATAGGCAACTTTGTCACAGAACATTTTAGGCTATACAACTAAAAGAAGACCTATAAGAACTATATCTGCTATAGCAGAAAAAAAACAAGATAAAAGTTTGTTGTCACTTGGGAGTAATTATACACTATTGATTAAATTTGCTCTTAAATCATGCATTAAAACTTCAAGCAAAATGTATGATGAGCCCTTGATCTTATGTGCCAGCTGAAAATTGTACTCTTTTATCATCTTTAAATAGTGAAATAAATATTACTGAAGATGCACAATATTCAGTTTTTTGCTGATATCCAATATGAGTATATTTTCCTATTTATTGTCCTGCACATTTTTTTTTCCTGCAGTGGAATAAACTAAAAATTTGCCCACTGACAGGTGCAAACATAAACTATAATGCTTTTTAAATGTACACCTTCACCAGTCAACATGCTGATATTTCATTTTAAAGCTCTTATCCGCCGATATCATGTGCACTCCTAATTATTCCATTTTTTCCAAATCACTTATGTTAAAGGCTCTAATTTTACTTTTTGTTATTTACTGTTTAGTGTTTCGTGACTGCTGGGATATAAAAGAATACGTCAACCTTTTAGGAAACACACATCTTGGTTTTCTTCAGCAGAGTTACTGTAGGCGAGTCGGACGATATCGCATCTCGACAGTAAATGTGAAACCAGCAGCAGCAGCTTGCATAACTCACCCTAAAAGGCCATCAACAGGGACACAGTTACTCTACAGTTCACATACTAACACATTAACCTATTTAGACCTGAGCTCTTATTTGATATGCATTTTTTTATTTATCTTTGCTATTTGGGCTTATTGGAACCTGATAAGTATAAAAACTAAGTTTCATCATAGATACTAGTGTGAGTGTCCACACACGTGGCCATAAGGCTCCAGAATGAACCACTGTGGTAATATAACCCAAAATGTGATGTCCATGCATGTGCCAAGATGCTGATGTTTAATTCATACAACAACTGAAATGTAAAAGGGACATCTTGTGTTTTTAAATTGAGATACTTTAGATCAGATTTATAATGCAGATAAAAGAGAGGAATCCACTGTAAGACAGTCAATAAATGTGTTTCCCAAAATGTCAAACTAGTCCTTTAATGATTCTTTGATTTACAGACATGCAAGCAGCATGTCAGTTTAAAATTAGAGTAGTGGGATAACAGAACATATGTATATTCTGGTGGCAGGTTTTATATAATCATATGTACTGATTCAGGCTTCAAATTGAGCAGGAAGTTGCGTGAATCCTTTGTTCCCATATTCGTTTGCCAAATAGCGTTTCTTCTGTTCTTCCTTATTCTCACTGAAAAGCTCAGACAAGCGAACCGATTCCCGCTCAGCTTTAAGGTCGGTTGCATAACAGTCGGCAAAATTGTCTCCCAAAAGTGAAGTACAAAGCGAAGAGTCGAGCTGAAGATCATTTATTTATACAGCTCCTCATCACAGGGATGGCTCAGAAGATGCAGCTAATCAATTATCAATCACAGGGCGACGTTGTGATTTCTCATTATGTAACATAAAAAGCAAAGAATAAAACAAAGAAGTTAGAGAGACAGCAGGGCGGTGCGGAGGTGTTGATGTCTGTGATGAATGTGTGAGACGAAAACCGAAAGTGATTTTAACCAAGACAATGAGGTCAACAAGATACCCACGTAAACAATGAAGCCCACACTTCTAGTATGAACATCGAGTGATTATGGTGTCAAAGTGCAATCTGAACAGAGAGGAAAGTGTGCAGTGGTGAGAAACAGATAACAGCATGATGGTTTATTGTTGAGCTATTTAGTACAGAAGCATTAAAAGAGATAGTTTAAGCTCCCGTAGTTATGTCATCCGGGCTCATTAGCTCTTCGGCTGCTCTAAAAACAGAACATCACCATGTTACAAAGAAACACAGTGTTCTTTCTGTCTCCTCAGCTGATGCACTCCTTCTGCAACATTTCCTCATTAATCTTCCTGCAAAGTTCCACTGGGAGGAAACGTATAGGTCAATCAAACCTCCATCAGCCATGATGGATCAGTGCTCTGGTCTGCCCTGGTCTGGTAGCACAGTACATTATGACCTGCCACTGATGGAGACAGTTATCTTGACAAACATACTGATATATTTAGAAGATTCTTAGTGAAATTAAACATTATTCACCTAGGCCTGAAAAACTACAATTATTAAATATCCTCAAAGTAGTGTAAAGGAGGGAAGAAAAAGGTTTGGGAAGTTTAATGTGAACAGATGTTGAACTGCAAGCTGTTGAAATTAAAACAGAGAACCTGCCCTCAAACCTAAGCGCAAACTTCCAGGCCTGATAAATAAATTCTTCAATGGCATAACATAGACTGCATTTACAGTATGAAAGTCAAGCCAACACTGAAGCTCCTCAACCCTGCATTCTTTCTAACAGCCAATAGGGGGCGACTCCTCTCTCAAATAGAAGTCACATTGTATAGAAGTCTATGGGAAAATGGACCTGCTTCTCACTCGATTTATTACTTCAGACAATATTTTCCGAATGTGTTTATGGTCTCAATTGCTAGTTTAAAGTCTTCTTCAGTCGAGTATGATGTTCATTTTGTACATTATGGTCCCATTGAGAGTATAATAGATGATAAAGTAGGATAAGTTTTATGGACTACCTTGTGTCAGATCCACTCCTCATTCGTCACATCTGGTTTCTAGAGAGCAACAAAAGTCCAATTTCAAACTCAAGACTTCAAGATGATAGTCTACTAATCAGTTGTTGCCGTTACGGTCAACATCTGTTATATACAGTCTTTGCTCCAAAAGTGAGTCAATCCCCATAGACTCCCATGTTAAAATGTCTAACTTTACAGCAGAAAATAAACGTGTTTGCAGCCTGGAACAGAAAAACTGTTTCTTTCCTTATCGCTAATTTCACCATTTATGATACAAAATTTGATGTACACACCCAACAGTTACAGATATTAACATCTATTTTAGCTCTATTTTTGGTCCCAACTTACCAACTCCTTCAGTAAATAAGTCGCTTTAAAGTTAAATGTTCCCCAACGTTCCTTTAAAATATCAAACTATTTCTTTAAGACATACACAACTATCTAAACTGCCACTATCTCTAGCTTTGTGTAACACTTTCAAATTACAAGCANGGTTAATTGGTGATTCTAAATTGTCCATAGGTGTGAATGTGAGTGTGCTTGGTTGTCTGTCTCTAAGTGTAGCCCTGTGATAGACTGGTGACCTGCTAGAGAGTCGACCATTGAGAGTAAAATAGATGATAAAGCAGGATAAGTTTTATGGACTACCTGGAGTCAGATCCACTCCTCATTCATCACATCTGATTTCTAGAGAGCAACAAAAGTCCAATTTCAAACTCAAGACTTCAAGATGATAGTCCACAAATCAGTTGTTGGCGTTTCGGTCAATATGGCCATCTGTTAAATACAGTCTTCGCTGCAAAAGTGAGTCAATCCCCATAGACCCCCATGTTAAAATGTCCAACCTTACAGTAGAAAATAAACGTGTTTGCAGCCTGGAACAGAAAAACTGTGTCTTTACTTATAGCTAATTTCACCATTTATGATACGTCAAGGCGAAATTTGATGTACACACCCAACAGTTACAGATATTAACATCTATTTTAGCTCCATTTTTGGTCCCAACTTATCAACTCCTTCAGTAAATAAGTCGCTTTAAAGTTAAATGTTCCCCAACGTTTAGCAAGATTTGGTGCTGGTCGGGCTGTTTCCTTTGGGTTTTTAGAGCTTCTTTGCTAAAGAACAACCAATAAAGAAGCTTTTTTTTTTTTTTTTTAATTCAGCAACCTGTTAGCTTAGCATAATATAAAGACATGAGAACAGAGCTGTGTCTAAAGGGAGCAAAACTACAACAACTTGTATTCACAATTCGATTAGTGTGCGGATGCTGGTAGGAAATGTAGTTGTGTTTGTCGAGAACCGGGCCAGCTGATTCCATCTGTTGTCAGTCTTTATGCTAAGCTCAGCTAGCAAGGCTTATATAGTTATATAAGGAAAGACATATAAACCAGATGTGATGATGAGGTATACATTTTCTCATCTATGTAAGAACCCAAATGATAGTTTCCTTTAAAATATCAAACTATTTCTTTAAGACATACACAACTATCTAAACTGCCACTATCTCTAGCTTTGCGTGACACTTTCAAATTACAAGCAAAACAAATGTTCAGCGTACTTCCCATGATGACCCAGCTGTCAACGACAGGCTAAAGGTAGTCTTGGTCTTCGCTGCGGTGATGTGAGACAGACGCGCTGTGATATGAATCATCAGTGGGCGTAGAGAGTCTTGTCCTGGATGACGGCTGCAGCAGTCGCTCGCTTCTCGTCTTATCTTCAGCCTGATCAGAACCACACTTGTGTTGTATTCTGATACTGAAAGGTATGCGTGCAGTGATTGCTGTGTGCTGCCGCCACTTTAAAAAATCTGCTGAGTCATGTTTAATCTGACCAACTAACACATGAGTGAATATCTACAAAAGCAGTGGCGGAAGAAGTATTCAGATCTGCAAAAGTCTGAATACCCAGACTTAAATTAAAGTACACAAGTATTAACTGCATGTTTCCAAGTATA